GTTTCTGGAAAAAATGTCTCGTTTCCACGTTCCCATTTCCACCACACGCGTTCGAATTTTCAAAAGTTGGATTACACACCTACACAGCCCTATGGTCCGGGATGGTCATCAATCCATTTCATAGGGATCAAATATCATTAGCTGCCATTATCTGCCATTCATCCAGGATTTTGAGCGGACAGCCAGAGTTTTCCATACCTCCAGCGACTTCAATCAGTGATGCCAAGGAATGGACTGGCGACGACTGGGTTTACCGCTCCAGTGCGGGGGTGGGTACCATGGGCACCATGCGCGATGACCCCGTGACGAGCAAGACTGCTGTTAAGGCGGGCTGGGAGAGGAGTAGCACTTCGGAGGTACCCTCTGGTTATGACTAACATAGCCATGGTATAGATGGCCCATAGAAATAGATGGTTTACCGTTCTTAAAAATTGGGATTTTCCATGGCTATGTTAAATAACCAGATGGTATCCCAGTCGGCAAGTGGTTGATAACCTATCCGTAGGGTGCACTGCGCACGGGTCGGGTTTCGGGACCTGAGTTTTTCGTTCAAAAACCATGGCAATTTGACCCCCTTATGGCGTAGCCGGTAGGGATTCATGGAAATTAACCGACAGCAAAGACTGTGGCGCTGGGACTCTTGAAATCTGCTATGCTGTCCTCCAAACAGGATGAAGACTATGAAGGTACGACCAACTGAATCTGACTGGCTAGTCAGCCACCTTTTCCAGGCCTTGAAAGTGGACGCCAAGGCACGAAAGAGGCGGGGGGTTTCACCGCGTTTTTAATGGGTTGCAACATGGGGTTTAACGTAAAAGATGTCATAAGATACTTGTATCCTTTGGTGACCCAGTGTGTGTGTGTGTCAGTGATATAGTTCCTCAATGTTGTTATTATTCAATAAACACATTTATGCAGGGTTTCATGTTCCATTACTATTGCCTTTTTTGATCCTTTTTGTACTACACATGTTTTAAAAAAAAGTAAAATGCCAACATTAGACGATAGGCTCAGGGCCATTGTCTTCTTCGGACACCCCCTGGGCCAGGAAACGTGACGAAGCTCCTCCGGCACCTGCAAAAAAACCTGGGACGAGCCGCGAACAGCTGATCAAGGATGCCAGGGATGGGGAGGTTGAATCCATTTTTCGGGGGAGAAGAGGTTCATAATGATGGTTCAAAATGATGGTCACATTTTCATGGTTGATGATTGTTGGGAGTATGAAGATTTGCTCATGCTTATAGTTATAGTGTTCTTATTCATGGGTGACTAATGGTTATTCATGGTTACATATGCTTACTAGTGGTTGTAAACGTGGTTGCATATATATATATAAACATAAACATAATAACCCGCGATCAGTGGGAGTTGGGATTATCCAACCGTACTGACAAGAACGACGAGAATTACCAGTAGTTGGATCTATTGACTAATAGTGTATAATCATGTACAACTGAGGTTATCACTTCATATTACTAATTCATATCACTAATTCATATCACTCTAATATAACAATATAGAATATCACTAAAATATCACCGTGATATATCACTATGATATCACTAAATAATATCGCTAGATCACATTTTGCGAATTTCAGTCGTTGAGACAACAAGACTTGGTCACATCTCTGGCTTGATGGTCTCACTGGTCATGGCTGATGCAAGGCCGAGGCTTGAATATTTTTTTCACGCCTGGAAGCGGAAAACTGACAAAGCTATATGATGCTAGATGGAGGTTTCCTAAAATAGGGGTAAAAGAGGGATAGCCCAATAGCTGGATGGTTTATAATGGATGGGGTACCCATATTGCAGGAAACCACCGTATGAGCTCATCATATCCAATGTAGAATACCTCAATGATATCCATACTCAAATTATTCAATGAAGATAGAAAACTAGGAGAACACAAATCCCAACCCAAATAGCCCAGATCATGCCAAATCCACCTTTCAGAATTTTGGGAAGTTACACACGCGACTTCAAAGAGTTAGATTTCGCTCTGACACACTGGGCCAAGGGTTTGTTGATGGACTGGGTGGCAGCAACCGAGCTTTTAAAAAAAATGTAGGTCAGTTTGCCGCTGTTTTTACTTCGTATCCAGTGGTGGATGGAGGGAGCAATCTGCAGCTATGGCTCTATGGCTTCATTCCCTATGAAATTATGGCCAATTGAGAGGGATCGACCAGGAATATCCCAAGCACATGAGACTTTGACAGGGGCTGTTTTTTGATCCCTTATGATCCTTATTCTCCTGGGTCTGAAATGTTTTAAAACCATGGGGGGAAAATCATACGACCTCAACCATGCCATTTTTTTTATAGGGCTTTGTCCAAAAAGTGTGAATCCAAACTGTGGGATCTTGGGAATCCTAGTGTTTTCCATGGTTTTCCCAAGATTTTCAAACCAAGCCATCCATCCTGGTCAAGCTTCAAGCTTGACCAACTCACCGAAGTCGCGCAACTTCCAGGAGGTCTTCAAGCACTTTGATGAAAACGGAGATCAAAAACTGAATGCTCAAGAGATGTTGGCCTTCGATTCTTGGTCGAGTGGGCATTTTTTTGTCCGGGATCACCCCTTGGTACTGGAAGATGTGGAATGATAATGGAAATTGCTAGATGAGTATAACATGTTTCAATTCTCATGTATTATACAAAGGGGATATCCTTGGATCCAATATAGATAGATAGATAGATAGATAGTGCCCCCCATGCTCATGGGCGTTAACATGCGTTAATATACCAATTGATTGGGGAACCCCTACAAAATTCTGGTGGAATGAGCATAGCACATGTCTTTTGACTAAGGCACGTCTGATACACTTACTTCTTCATAGCAATTTTCTTGTTCGAAGATGTTTTTAATGATGGATTTTTTTTGAATTGTCAGTGCTCACATTCCCAGCCGTCATCCAGAAAAGATGCCATTCGGCCGATGTCCAGCCGATCCGAATATGTTCTTGTCATCACATTTTCCTGGACTTGCTGATGATGTTCTATTTTATTCTATCTTCCTGATGGCTACTGTCATCCACCATTTGGGGAATCATTTTCTTGATGGTAGATTTTTGGGATTTGGCTTTGCTAAAAAAACGATAGATTGGGCAGTCGATTCCCAAGTAGATTTTGTTGGTGTCCCCCTTAAGCCACGAATTTGCCTCGCGTCAAAACGTCGAAAACCTCGAGGCAAGCAGTGTGGGATTTGACGGTAATGCTGAAGAGTGGAAGGAGGAGAGACGTTCCCTGTTGTGTCCAAAACTGGGGGATGTGCACCCCGAAATTGCAAATCAAATGCGCTTGGAGGAATTTGTGGAAAAAATTGTTGGACCATGTTTTTTTTTGGTGGACAGTTTTTTTTTAGACAAGCCAAGGTAGAGGAGTTTCCTCTTGAACATCGGACCTTTATTTGCAAGTTGCTTTGCTGGACTTTGTCGGAGGGTTACAGCCTCAATCCCAAACTTGGGTAGCCGCTATGGGAATCATTGGGTCCATTTGGGAAACCCAGAGATCATTGTATCGCCACTAGTCATTAAATCACTGTTTCTATGATCATTTTGATTGGTGAAATCCCCATCCCAATAAAAGTGCCAAATTTTATCAAGTTTTCATCACCTGTTGCTGAAAACTTCCCAGGAGTACCGGCTCATTTGTGAAGGCCTTGGACGCACGGTGGAGCAAGCCATTGATGCTCAGTCCTTTCTGAGACTGGTGAACGAGGACGAACCGGGGATGACGGGGTTGAACCACCCAGTGAAGTAGGGTAGGTACAGGATGGTGCCCCCCAGTTATAAGTTCGTTTATAAACCCCATGAATACTATAGTTATATATATATATATGTCTACCATAAGCCATAGAATTCAGCCACTTATTTTAGGCAACTGAACGCGAACTCGACTGGGGGGGGGCCCATCCTGTACTGAGTCGAGTCCTCGGAATGAGGGAGAAAACCCTGGTAGTAGCAGCTATCAATTGTAGCAGCTGTGTCAATGGATTGCTTTAAGGGAAAATTTACAGGAAAACCCCATATTTCATGGCAAAATCTATGGTTTCCGGTTGAGAGTTTCCCTTAAACCAATCCAGTGACTGTGGAAACCCAAGTATCGGCTGAGTACGGGCTTTGATGATGTGAATTTATGTGAGCTACGCTAAATATGGTCCCATAACTTGCCCTTAAAAACACGGTACGCCGTAAGACCTGCCCAGCAAAAAGGTAGGCAGCACAGCTGCAGCACCATCGATCTCGAGGACACCGATGATGGATGCTATTGCTCGGACAAGGCCCTGCCACGATCGGCGGAAAATGAGACCAACTTGAGACGAAGCCAATGCCAAAAAAAAAAATCCCAGTACCCTCTGGTTATGTCAAAATAGCGAACTGGAAAGATCCACCATTTTGTAGCTGGGTAAATCACCTATAAATGGTCGTTTTCAATAGCTATGTTAAATTACCAGAGGGTAACCATGTAGGCTTCGTCTTGCTTCATCCCAAGTTGCGGTACATACACAATATGCGCATTATTTGTATACACATACCGTACCTCAATTGCGGTATGAAAGCTTGCAACGTCCCCGTGCTGCGTGACTTTCATCGCAAGACATCCTTGCGCAATTTCAGTCTTGAACTCCAGGTCCAGCATGGTTCATCCATCATTCCCTCAGAAGGTGCATATTACCCTCTGGTAAATTAACAGCTGGACCCTGAAAAATTCCAATTTTTATTGGACATTAATCTTCCACCCCCTATCTGGGAGGGTCTATGTGAATTTTCTGGAGGGTAATAAGTACACAACCTCACTGTTTTTTGGTGATACTATGTGATACTTTTGAAGTGATACTCTATCTCAGCATGTCTCAGTGACTCAGCATGTTCCTGGATGCAAAAAATCATGTTTATTTTGGGCCTTGGGATTATTGTGTGGGATAATCATGTAAAATCCTCGTCGGATCCTCACTTTGTCCTAACCTTTCCTGCGGTTCGACACTTCGATCATCCCAGTCATAGGAGCTGGCGGGGATGTTGGGACGAAGTTGGCCGCGCCTTGGGTATTGAAAGAGATATCCTGGCGATTACTTGGACACGCCATGGTTTCCTGAGGGAAATGATCTACACATGGTGGGTTTCTACATCTATGTAAACTGTAAACATCTGTAAACATTTATTAGAAGTTAGAAGGCTATTTTGGATTCAACAAGCAAGGACCTCCAATGAAACAAACATTGCAACTTGATATTTGCCAAATTTTTAGAGGTTGGATGAACGACAATAATGGATCTTATGGAAATGTTTGATATTGATATAATATAGATTAATATAGTATATTGCATATTTTATAAAAAATGTAGTTTCTCTGCTCTATATTGGCTCCACTTAGAGAGGTCAAATCGTCAGATACCCAGGATGGACCTGAAAGGTTGAGTAGCCGCCAACTCAGAGGACCAAGATTTCAAGTAAAAAATGGCAAAGAACATAAACAGATTCTGATTTAATGGAATTTAACCACTATTTTTTTTGGTGATTTAGTAGAGATTTTCCCTCTGTTTCAAAACATCCAAAAGAACTCCTTACCAAATGCTCTATAGAGATCTAACAAACACATGGTCCTGTGGGTAAAACAATTTCGTAAACCATCCCCCAGTCATCACCATTTTTATCGGTGGGATTCAAACCATTCCCATCTTCGGTTGGAACTAATTGGATCCACATATGTTCAAATATATCCAAATGTGGGATACCCTCTGGTAAACTAACATAACTATAGAAAATCACCATTTTTCATGGGTAAATCAACTATAAATGATCATTTTCAATAGCAAACTGTTAGTTTACCAGGGGGTAACTCTGTTTCAACCGGTTTTTCTTGCTGTAGCTTGTCCCTTCCAAGGTAAGGGGGTTGGATGCGGCACGGCATGACGCCGGCAACTGAAGGAGTAGGCTGAAGTGGCAATGCAGTCGGCTCCCATGTGAACAGGTCTTTTATTTGTAAGTAACTTGGGTGCAGCGTGAAGACTTTCGAAAGATAGCTGGTATAAGAATATAATATATAATTATATACGGTGCCGGTGAACATTATCCCAATTTGTCTTTAATTGGATGGGGCCAATTTTTGGGCAAATACAATGTGTTCAATCCTGAGCGGTGACAGCAACATAGAAGAATACATTACTGGTTGGTGGTTTGGAACATGTTTTATTTTCCATATACATGGAATAATCCTTCCCATTGACTAATATTTTTCAAGATGGTTAAAACCACCAAGTAGATTAACATACATTAATTAAACATATATTCCTTTCAGTCTTCTTGGCAGTCTCCCCATGGTATTCTTGATGGGAGAAAAACTTCATTCACGAGACCAACCAGAGACACATCTTGGAAGACGTTTGGGCCACTCGGGGTAACGCGCGCGCCGCGTTCACCGGCTTAGTACCTTTAGTACCTGGAATCTCCGTGCGAGAAAAGGGGGCGCCTGGATCATCGATCACTCGGGTCGGGAAGCTCGGTTAATAAAAATTTTGCAGGGAACCCCCCCATAGGGGATTCATTATATGGATTCATTATATGGATTCATTATATGGATTCAATAGGGGATTCCATAATCCATATAATGAATCCCCTATTAGGTGAGGAATTTTAGCCACAAGTTTCCGGTAGATTTTCCTTTCAACCAATCCATTGCGGAAAGGTTTAACCGGGGTTCTGGAGGCAGATGCTTCACCAGCATAGGACATGGATTTCTGACTTGGCTTCAGGGCGGTCGTCAACAGAAACTGCCGCGAAGAGCGTGGGGTGACCGCCAGGTTTTCATCGGGACCAGTATAATTTTTCCACCAGAAAGCCTTCTCATCGTGATGTTTATCCAAAAAAATATGTGGCTCACCAATATGTTCACTATTTTTCCCAATCGATTTTCCATACAGTATCCCTATTCCATATGTTTCACCGTTTTTATCCACTATTCATTTGTCTCCAGTTTTGCTGCTTTAATTTCTTTCATTTTTGATAGTTAAATCAGCTAAATCAGCTAAACCAGTCGAATCAGTTGCTGTTCAATCATATTAAATCACTTCAGAATCAGCCTTCAGAATCTGTGAAAAACCATGTTAAACCATGTTAAACCCCAGAAATCAGCGAAAGAATCAGCATCAACCAGCCACAAAAACTCAGCCGCCGCCATGGTGCTCCTTCACGAGCTGGTCTCCTCGGTAGCGGAGCACTGTCGCGGCCTGGTCGTGGGCAAGCGCGTGCAGGTCACGAATTGGATGGGGAATCCATAGCTGTCCTAATAAAATCTATACATGCGGTTGGTGGTGAATGGATGATATGGATGACTGGTTGGTGGTGACTGGAACCCTGGAATTAATCTATGGTTAATCTATGGTTAATCTATGGTTAATCTATGGTTAATCTATGGTTAATAATGGTTAATCATTGGAATACCAATATATCTGGTTGGTGGTTTGGAACATGAATTTTATGACTTCCCCAATAGTTGGGATGATGATCCAATCTGACGAACTCATATTTTTCAGAGGGGTAGGTATACCAGCAATTAGTATACATGTGTATCTATTTGTCTATTTGTCTATCTACCTGTCTGCCTGTCTGTCTGTCTATCTGTCTATTTATCTATCTATCTCTACCTATCTTATCTTATTGTCGTTCATCCAGGCTCTGGAATTGGCAAATATCAAGTTGCAATGTTTGTTTCATTGGAGGTCTTAATCCCACATGCCCCCCTTTGAACGTTAACATAGACTTGGAAAACCCACTCATTATTTGTAGTTTGTTTTTCCGAACGGAAACGATTGGTTATCTCACATCTATGTTACTTTACCCGAGGGTAACAGCTATTTTCAGGTGAACTATGATGAATTTTGATAATTCTTATGTGTGAGGATTTTCATGGGATAGTTCGTGGAACAATTGGGATGTTTTTTTCTCACCAGCTTTTGGGATTATTGGATGCCCTCCGGTAAACTAACAGTTTGCTGTTGAAGCCATGGCCCATGAAAATAGTTGATTTACCTATTAAAAATGGTGATTTTCCATAGCTATGTTAATTTACCAGAGGGTATATTTGATGGGAATTGATCAGGATAGTGTCATTTGTTTGATGATTTGTTGACGTTTTTGATGTGTGGAGCAAACCTGGAAAGATATGGAGGAAATATATATATATATAAGCGAGTCAATTGCAGCAGGGGCATGATTGATACTTTTGGTGACACAAAATGATGGTGACCTGATATAAATTGATAACGATAACCAACAATTCTAGGTCAACTTTGCATGGATAGATGTTTTTTTCCTACAGGTTGGTTGACTAGAGAAGTTGACCCCCAGTCACAACCAACAGTTTCTCTACTCTATTTGGAATGGACGTTGTCGTATAAATCAGGAAAAACAGATGGTCACATAATATGCCAATAGCACATATTAGAGTTACAATCCCCAGATTTGTATACCTTGTATACCCCAAAACGTCAATGGCATCATGGGGGAAATGATATGAAATGATGATTCGTGGATTTGGGGGTGTATTTTCAGACATCCATTTTATCAATGGCCATTTCAGGATCCTAGATTGGAGGATTGCTATCCTGGCAGCCTGGCAGGTGTTGGAGGGTCGAAACTTTGCGACTTTCTCAGGCCAGAGATTGGGGACCGGAGATTTGGTGCATTGAAACCAGAAATCCATGGTGAAGTAACGAGTCCAGGAATCGACACCAAAAAACAAAAAAACATCAATTCTTGGGAACATGATATTCCAATTACTTCAAAAAAGTGCTATGAATTCCCACATTTACATACATTTAGATTGACATTCCCATAGAAATTTACATACATCATAAATCATCATAAATAGTCATAGAATTGGATGATGGGAAAATGTTAACCGGAAAGCCCTTAATATTTGATGGTAAAAACCCATGGGTTTCCGGTGTAGATTTTCCCCAACAAACCAATCCATTGAAATCATCATCATAGTCCACCATGTTCCATGCAAAAATCATATGGGTATGGGTCAATACCTATAGATACATTACTATAGTGGGATGAACATCCATAAATCCCAGCTATGAATTGGGGTTCACTAGGTACCAGGGTTTTGACCCATCCCCATCTCCCAATCTTGCCATGAAAAAAAACATGGTTTTTGGTTGGCCTCCGGCAGCGTTAAGGTGGGGAGCTGGGAAAGCTTCTCAGCTCCTGGGACTCCGAAGATGCGGAGAAAATGCTGAGAAAATCTGGGTAAATGTTGGTTATTAAGGGTTAATGTTGGTTAATGATGATTAATAGTGCTTATTCATGGTAAATGATGATTATTCTGGGTAAATTATAATGACCTCACTGTTCTCCCTCACTATAATATACTATAATCATAGTTAGTAGGGGAAATCATCCCTAAATGGCCGAACTATTCAGGTTAGTGAAATATTATAATTTACCCAGATTAATAACCATTAATAATAACCATGGTTTTGTTATAATGGTTAATAATTGTTAATAGTTGACATGCTTATAATAATTAACATGAAAAATAATTGTGGTTGTGGAATAATGGTTAATAATGGTCAATAACCATCATGGTTATAATATATAACAATAATGGTTATATAACAATGGTTAAGACCAATCGTGGTATATAATCAACAGGGTAATCATGGTTATATAATAATGGTTAAGAATGGTCAATCATGGTTATTACATGTTATGAATGGATATCTGGTTGGTGGTTTGGAACATGATGTTTTTTGACTTTCCATATGTTGGGAATATCATAATCATTAATCCCAACTGACGTTCATATTTTTAAGAATTCAGAGGGATTGAAACCATCAACCAGAGATCCCTTTTTTGATCTGTGATCATTTGTGTGCATGTTTGTGATTGCTTATCATTGGCAATTAGCCAATCATATAGATTCACATAGTATAGATAACATCGTACAACTGAGAATTATACGTTTAACATTGGGACATATTTGGACATTGAAGATCCAAGCAATGAGAGTCCATGGAAGGTCCAAGCCGAGGTATGGCGAGAAAATGGTAGGTGGATGTAGGTGGCCCCAATTTAGGTACCAATGGCCATTGAATGGCCATTGAATCAGGATGTTTGTGACATGGTTCTTAAGGCCTGAAGCCAGGCCAATCACAACATACCGGGTTCTACAAAAAAAAACGGCCATCCCATGAAGTAGCACCACACCACAGAGGTCATGTCCCCCCCGTCCCCCAATTCAATGTTGTCTTCTGAATTTTGTGTTTGGCGGCCTTCAAAAGAAACAGCCATTTTTTGTTCATGATGCTCGGCACTTCCGATCACAACATTGAAGTTGGGGGTTGCGGGGGTAAGCAAGGTATCTCCGTGGTTTCATGTGGATGGCTGTTTTTTTGAAGAACCCGGTATCACAACTGTAATGGACATACATTGCATGTGCGTTATTTGTTGCGTTTCATTCCAGCACGTCCATCAAACTTGATCAAATGTGTCTGATTCCAATGTGGTATTTGCACATGATTGGTATTCACTAGTAGATTTTCACATATTTTCACCAGCCACAACTCAGCACATCTTCTTCCAGAGACATCCTTTAACGACATATCCTGGTCCAACGTCAGCCGCATTCAGCCAGCGATCCCCCGAGGCCTCGACGTCGACTCGCAGCTCTGCCTGGTGCACTTCAAGGGTCGTCCCAGTCCCGTGGAGGTGCCCGTGCGACACCTGCGAGGTCTTGGTGCACCGAAGGAGCGGTTGTTTCCCACTGGGAGATCCACGATTTTAATGGGGAATCTATGGGGAATATGTAACATATTAATGTAGGCTTTGTTTTGACTGATATAGTTAATTTATATATATTTTTTATATTAATGGCATCTCAATGATTATATAATTCATATCATGGAATATAAATGGGATATTGCTGAGACATTCATGGGATTTTACTTTGTCCAGTGGTTGAGAGGGAACTGTTTGGAGCTAGCTGTCTCCAGATCTCCCTTTACCAAATGGGGAGCCAGTTGGAGCTATGAATTGAGTTTCCCAGCCGCATGACAATGATTGAAACAGTAGTTACCCTCTGGTGAACTAACATAGCAATGGAAAATCTCCATTTTTAATGGGAAAATCCACTATTTCAATGGCCATTTTCCATTGCTATGTTAGTTCACCAGAGGGTACCCTCTGGTAAACTAACATAACTATGGAAAATCACCATTTTCAATGGGAAAATCAACTATATATAAATTGCCATTTTCAATAGCTATGTTAAATTACCAGAGGGTAAGTATATTAAGTATAGTTATAACCGATAATCAAATAAATCTGATAGTAATGACCGCAGATATCCGCAGATTCAATCATCCTGGGTATTTTTTGTTTACTTTCTGATGCGAATATACTGCAGTTGATTAATGGTGACTAAAATTAGGGATAGTTGAGTAGTGGATTCTTATCTATATCTGTTCATACTAAATGTGGCTTCAAGGGGTGCCATGATCCATTCATCATGCTAATGCGAACAAAGCAAGAGGAAAGTCCTAAACGGGAGAATTTCCTATGCCCAACTGGGCGCTGTAATCGGGCGCAGGAAAACCAGGGCCACAGGCCGCCTGTCAATGATGGCCTTCTAGTCGAGTAGGCGTCCATACTTTGCACGACCTCAGATATATTACATGAACCTACTGTAGCAAAGATGGAAATGCAAGGTCTTAATCATTGTTCATCCAAGCCTTTCTTTTTCTTGAAACATGCGCTGAACCCTGCTGAAACATACCCAGCTGACACCAGGAGGAGCTTTCTTCGCCCGTAACGCGAAGCGGGCGAAGCGGAACGCAGAACGTTGAGGAGCACTGACTTGGTCTGCACTGGGATGAACAGAACTCATCGATTGTGTCTTTAATATGAAAAACTACAGTACTAATATATACATCTATCTATCTATATCTATCTATCTACATATTTTTATTTATTATATATATATATCATGATATATATATATATACATATATCATTAATATATATGTATGTGCGTGTGTGTGTGTGCACAAAAATCATACATCTCATATGATGCCATGGGCTTGGGCTGAACTTGAGTCAAAGATCTTTTTGGCAACGTTGCCGGCAACGTTGCCGGCACCGGGCACCCCATCTGGTTATGACATGACATTCACAGCATGCCATGGAAAGATCCACCATGCTATTTTTGAACGGTGTTAACCATCTATTTCGATTAGGGCCATAAATCTACCATGGATATGTTAGTCATAACCAGAGGGTAACTATCCATTAATCACCATTAATCATGGATTAATCACCATTAAATCACCATTTTCCTATGATTTTCCCAATGGATATGGAGGTTTTAGTGATTTTACGTATGGGAAATCATCATTTTTTGGTGCACTTCCCATGGCCGAAAAGCCCAGGCCGCGAGCCGAACGCCTGTGGCCAACGCAGTGGCTTGGTGATTCTGCTAATCAAACCTGGAAAGAACATATTTGTGCCATGGAAAATCACCATTTATAGTTGATTAATGGGATTTAATGGGGTTTAATGGGATATAAATGGGATATATAATAGAAGTGACCCTCTGGTTATGTCAACAGTTTGCTATTGAAAATGGCTATTGAAATAGTGGATTTACCCAGCTACAAAATGGTGGATCTTTCCATAGTTATGTGGCTGTTTACCAGAGGGTATTTGTGCCATGGTCAGAATGTGGATTAAATGATTAAGCCATGAGGCCATATCGGAATGATGAAACTATGAATCAATGTTGATTGATGAAACTGAAGGGGACCACGGTATATTATAGCCAATTATAGCGATGATAATAATGGAACTAGTTTTTGTCTACCATGAGTTGGTATTTTGGGGCATCATCCATTCATTACTATACCTATCATGTCAGGATTCCCATAGATTCTTGGAATGGGATGGATGACCATAAAACATAGTACACCATGTAACTTGACGATGGCACATATGCTTTTTGTTCCATAGAACACCTATCTATAAATTGTAAACGGCTATGTTTTTTAAAAAAAAAAATAGTGTGCTGCTTCATGGAGGGTATCTTCGGACTTGGGCTTCCAAGATTGTTGATTCAAGACACTTGGAAGATCGGAAATCTGGCGGTTCCATGGTCCTCCCCGGCACATGTCTTTGTTTTTACAGTGGGCAAAGTAAAAAAGAAACACTAATGTAGGTAAAACAATAAACCATCCTTGAAAGGCCTAGATATCTAAAGAAAAGGTGCACAAGACTTGAAAACACTATCACCTGTGAACAAAAAAAAACTATCAATAGAAACAGATATCATGAAATCAGGTGATCATTGGACAATATCATATACACATCATCATCATCATCATCATCATCATCATCATCATCCCACTTATAGGGATCAAATACACCCACTTTCCGAATTTTGGGCCGCAAAGCCGGGCCAAAAATTGGGACGTCCAACGAAGCCAGGAAGCCGCAGCGTTGAAGGACATGTTGGCGCTGGCCTCTCCTGGCTCGCCCAGGGCGGCCGGCACGACCGCGACCGCAGGGACCGCAGGGACCAGCACTTTGCCGAGTCTCGGTGCAGAAAAACCACGGATAGATAGAAAGATAGAAAGATAGATATATAAATATCATAAAGTGGACCAGTATGTGCATAGTGTTGTCTATCTTTGGGACGTGTCAAAGAAAAGAGTTTTTCTCTTTTGGATTTCTCACATTTTGTATTTTGGTCCGGCCAATCATAATTGAAACGAATGAATGATACTGAATTACCTCTGAAGTACCAAAGGGAATCACTGCTTTCTTACCCCATGTCACCTGATTATTTCATTCAAATAGGTTTTATGTTCAACCTGCGATTATTCTCCCAACCGACGAGCACATTTTGGGACCATCAAGCAGTTCCAGACTTTGTTCAAGATGTTAGTGGGATAAAAAACATCGGAAATCCTCATTTTTTCAGCAATTCATGGCAGTAAACGGTTCAAAACGGTTCAAAAGCAGGGTTTCTGCTCGAATTTCCGACTGGTGACTCCTAGTCCCGGCCTTCCCTGTCCAGGACCGTGACGAGCCCTGAAGGCGCCTGGTTCACCCTCTGCGAATGTTCTCCACGAAGTTCCTTCTGCACCCCGTGGAAGCAGCAGGAAACCACAGCTGCTTGGAGAAAATTTCATGGAACGCCTCTGCTGTTCCATAAATTATCCGTGTGCCAGAAAATTATTTTGCATGTTTGGCTGCGGATATAGGGAAACATATATTTGATGTGTACATGTGGTGCATTTTGTGGTCGTTTGTGACAGTCACCAGTGAAAGAAATGATTCAAGTGCAGGGATTCGGTTCAGAGAAAGTGCTGCAATTGCTCTATGGGGAGCGTATGAGATGCCACTTGCTTGATTCGAAGTGAAGATCAGGATGAGGTAGACCCTCACCACCACCATCACCACCATCGCCATGATTGTATAATAACTGTATTTGTATAATGACCATATTTTTTCCGACATTTTTCCCCCAAACAATGTGTAATGACCATGAAATTCTGACAATGCCTCAAATTTCGCGATGTCTTTTTCCAAACAGTTTTGATCACGTCACTAGTGTCATGTGTGTGTCTGAAAATGTGGCATACCCCAAAATCACAACTTGACTTGGGGAAGGTGAATGGGAAAGTGACACCCCCCCAAAAAAAAAAACAACAACATGGGTTAGCCTAGCCTCAGACATTTTACAACCAAGGACTGGAACAGCCAGACAGGACAGTGCTATGGTGCTATTGGACCACCAAGAGGGCAAGTCATCAGTTTTTTTTGGATCTGGATCTGGTTCGAAAATTCAGATCCTGAGGACAGTACCTTAGTCGAGCTGTATACTCTGACTTTTGATCTGGAGAGGTTGGGAAGCATGGAGAGGTGCAATTCCAACGAACAAACGAGCTGCATGGCAAAAGACACAAAGGGTGCTACGATTCCATCGATGAAAGTGGCACTTCAGCTTTGATATCAACGATACACTTGCAACCTGGTTTATTGGCCATATCCACTATGGAATAATCTTCCAAAATCTACAGGCCTCCAAAGAAAGACCTGCAACCGCAAACCTGCAAGTGATTTTCAGAACCGGGAGTGGATGAACAAAAAACGTTCGAGACAAATGTTACTCTCATTTGGGTAGGTCCTCGTTCTTGTTTGGTTCGAAATCCTACGGTTAAATGACAATCGTTCTGTGTAAATCGTCATTTTTTTGCAGGTAATCTCCCTATCTCCATGGATTGAACCTGATACTTTGATTATGTGTAGCGCCAAAATGCGCAGTGATGGAAAAATGCATCACTCCTCGTTGTTGCCGAATTTTTTGCCGGAGAATCCAGGGAAATATGGGAAAATCATGAAATCTCTAGCCGTTTTTGTGTAAAATCAGGTTTCGGATCCCAAAATCCATCAAACTCCATATTGTTGTGATACGTACCCGGTAGGTAATTAAATAAGGGAATGGGCAATCCCCTATAAATGAAGGTTTCTAGCTGGGAAAATCATCCATAAATGATCAATGGAGGATTTTCAATTGCCACCTTTGATTACCCGAAAAATCCCAATAACATCCCCATTTATAATAATTGTTTCAAATCCCCGCTTTTCACCATAAAATCCCATGAATTCCCCTTAAAATCATCCTAAAGATCAGCAAAATGTTCATAATGGAATTGGATTGGAACATTTTTCCCCCCTTAAATCATCCCATTCAAATCCAATGAATTCCCTTAAAATCCATTTTTCCCATTAAAATCCAATGACATTCCCATAAAAATGTCACCATGACATTCGCGCAGGATCCACCCAGGCCTCCGCCTCGCCCATCGACACGGTCTGGCGGGAGCCGCCGGAGCCGCAGCCCAAGCCGCCGCCGGCGAGGGCCTGGAGGTGGGAAGATTGGACGGACATCCTGCGGTGTTAAGGACAGTTGGCGAAGGGAAGAAAGCAGAAGAAAGCTAAAGTCAATCAACTATGGTAAGTATGGTAAGTATGATAACTATGCTCAATAAACTATGGTAACTATGGTAACTATGGATATTCCAAGATATTCTAAACATGTATACCAACATGGTTTAGGACGTTTAGGTGGGAAGTGACCAAGTAACTACTGTAAGTTGAGAAAGAAAATGAGTCTTTTTGTTGGTTTATGATGGTTTCTGGGTATTTTTGTTATGGTTGGCGATGGGGAACAATTGGGGTCACCCCCCAGCTGGGATCCATCCCCGACCATCCCTAAATGGTTGGGAATTTCATCATCCCAACTGACTTTCAGTCCATGATTTTTCACAGGGGTAGGTTGAAACCACCAAGCAGTAATTATATATATAATGTATAATCAATATATAACCAGCAATAACATAATATGGTAGGTATACCACCAAGCAGTAGTTGTTTATGATCCATGGGTTTACCATGGGTTTACCACATTCGTCCATTTAGATCCCAATAATACCGACTGAATATCACTCATATTTTCATCACCCTCCAGTAAATGTTCACATAGACCTCCCAGGGGTGGGAAGATTTCCGAACATGTTTCCACTAAGAATTGGGCACATTTTCGTCTATGTTAAAGAAAACCAGAGGGTAGATCCAATACGCTCTTAATAAACAACCCATAGCTATGGAAAGTCACCATCGTTAAAATAGGTAAATCAACTATAGATAACATCACTGGATTGGTTTAAGGGAAAATCTTAACCGGAAACCATGGTTTTTACCATCAAATTGATCGGGCTTTCCTGTAAATTGTCCCATCAATTCTATGATCACAATTTTCAATAGCAAACTGTTACAAAATTACCAGGAGAGCAGATCAGGTCCATCCAACAATTCGTTACCTGGTGAGCTGCACCAGGCTCCCCACCTCCGAACCGCTACCCTTGGGTGCCGTTGGAACGACGCTCCTGCGCCCGGCGCCCGAGCCGCTGGCCGCGGTGGCCGCGCTGCCGGAGCCGGTGGCCGCGCCAGCGATAGAGCCAGCCGTGGCCGGGTTGCTGCCTCCAGGTGAGGAATTTTGGCGTGGAATTTCCAAGGGATTTTGGGATGTTGGCATTACCCTCTGGTAAACAGCCACATAGCTATGGAAAATCACCATTTTTAATGGACAACTCACTATAAATGGCCATGTTCAATAGCTATTTTGACATAACCAGAGGGTACTGCATTACTCAAAACAAACCACTCATTGAGCTCAGTGAGGAATATCATTAGCTAGATTTGGTGAGATTAGAATGATTAGAAATTAGATCACTCTAGTTGCCGTAGTTAAATCATGTCACAACAATTTTCAAAACATGATTATATAGAGTTGTTTGACCCAAGATGAGTTAAATGAACACCATTCCTTGTCAAACGTTTGCTGAGAAAGCTGAGTGAAATCCGAGTTAAATCACCATTTTGTTGGTTAGTTTGACCTTGTTTCCTTTTTTGGGTCGGAATTAAAAGTGGAATTTAGTCATCAGTTTACATAAATGCGAGTCCGTCTCAGACTTTTTCGATGTTTTTTGCATGTTTTCGCATGAAGCCATGGCAAAAGTCGGGGAATGGTGCAGATCATCAGCAGTTTTGAGCCCTTTCACAGGTAACCTGCTGGGCAGCATTTCCAGCCTCCCCACTGTTCCATTCAGCTCCTAGGCCTTCAGGGTGGCTGGTTCATGTTTGTTTCCCAGGTTGAGAGCAGGTCAGGTCCATTTCGTGGTGTTGTTCTTTTTACATCTTTAAAAAGGCATCCTGAAGCCGGTTTTTCAAGAAAAAGACTTCAGATCTTCAACACATCAAGTGACAGATTTACAGAAACACGCCCGCGAGTCTGGTGAGAGCGTTTTCCAGCACTGAAACTCAAAGGAGAGAGAGAGAGAGAGAGAGTGTGTAGGATACTTGAGAGTGTAGTTCCAGTTGTAGGTAGATTTGCCACCCTACTAGTAGTAAGTTTGGCAAAATAACGACTTATATCCCAACTTATGGATTATGGATCTTATGGTGGTTGTATTATGATTATGATTATGATTTCATAAGTTGGGATATAGCCCCGTTAAAACCAACATTCTGAACATTATAATCAAGACATTCAGCGTTTATTTATGGGATGTAGGTACATCATGTTATATGCTGTTCAAAATGTAAGTAGATCTGCAATCGTAGTAAGTTGGGCAAAATCAAAAACGGACAACAATATCCCACCAAAAATGGTGCTTATATATCTTATATCATATCTATAATCCCATAGTGACTATAGTTACTATATCTATTATATTTATGGGATTATAGTTACTATAACTATTATATTATATCTATAGTATATTATAGATTCCAAAGTTACTATATAGTTACTATTATTATATTAGTTACAAATACAACTATTATATTATAGTTACAGTATATTATATCTATAACTATAATCCCATAGTTACCCCCCATGAAACATAGCCTCAGCTGCAGCCCCAAGTGTCAGTGGTGATCCGAGGTTCGCCTCCCTCGGTGAATGTACGTCGCCTCGCCAAAAACGATGGTAATTAACATGGGGATTTAATCAAACAAAGGTGGTAGAATAGGAATGTCATCAGATATATATCAGATAGATATATATATATATATATATCATATATATATATATACATATAAAACTATATTACACTGTAATTTAGCCTCTGGGCATGTAAGACTTTGCTATGGAAAAAAAATGCATGTGTGATAGGATGTAATAAGTCAATCATCTAAACATGGGCCATTTTCCATAAGTGAGATCAACCAATGATTCACTGGTTGAGACCCGGTGCTGTTGAAATGCGTTCGGAGGTGTCTGGATACCGTAAGAATCCGTAAGATGAGATGAGTTTAGATCAGATTGGGACAGATGAGTTTAGGGCCAGGAAACCAGAATAGTGGGCCGCCTTTTTGTTGAGGCCGGAGGTTCAGAATAGAACCAGCCAAACTTGACTGAGGTTGCAGCGTTTCACCCTTTGGCACCTTCTAGTCGCCTCGCCGATCGAAGACATCATGAAGACATCGCTCCAAAGCTGGCGCTCGAAAAAACGTCCGACCACGCGCGAATCTTTGCGTTGGGTTGATGCCTAGGAGAATCTCTAGGAGAGGTATGAATGTCAATGGAAGCTTGCCAGAGGACAAGAATTGAAAAAGGTTGAAAAACTTGATCTGGTTGGTGGGTTGGAACATGAATTTAATTTTTCCATATATATATATATATGGAATTTCATGATCCCAACTTACGAACTCCATCATTTTTCAGAGGGGTAGGTATACCACCAAGCAGTAGTAAACTGAGTCAAAGTTGGAGTTTTTCCATTGATTCGACCCTGGGCCTGGGTCATTGGCATGTCAGACAGCTATGGGTTGAGACCGGCTGCGGGCCCAAAACGGCTGCATCATGTTAGTTCATAATATGTCATAATACTTGATATCCATTATAGCAGCCCCCAAAAAAATATAGACACATTCTAGAACAGCAACATCCGAATCTGATAGCGAAGAATTACTTTCTATTTTTGGGGTGGTACTATACTAAGTATCCAACCACAATTAATTTCTTCTATAGCAACGCTGCAAAACATTGAGTTTAGTAGAAGCCTATTAAAATTAAATAGTGACAATACTGATAAATTGAACCGTTTGTTTCTATCTTTTTGGGGAACAGCTAAAAATGCATACAAAGGGGCGCCCCCAAACGATAGCTAAGTTGGTGAACATAACTCCAATAACTATATATGGTTTATATGATATTATAACTTTTACAACTATAGTATCAGTTTAACTATGGATACAGTAACTATGGTATACTGATAGATGTTTATATATGACTATATGGTTTATTGATTACTTATGGCTTATTCATGGACTTTAAAACTCGCTACAAGCCAACGTTTGGAGGATGTGAGCCAGGCCCCGGCCCCAGAAGCGCGAGAAGCGCAGGCGCCAGGTGGTGGAAATGTCCGTTGAGACAGAAGGAGATATAACGGGGATGTTTCTCATGGGGTAGAAATCATGTACACATAAAATATCATAAAATGGGTAATTATACATTATATATAGCCATATATTTGGGTATTATATATATAGATAGAAACGGATGTAATGGGATAGGTACAATGGGATTTCAAATCTATCTAATGTAATGGGATGTAATGTATATATCATATCCCAATAGCTGTGGGAAAAGACCAACCTCCAGGATCTGTTTCATGGTGGATATTTCGGGCCTTCCGAGACGGTGATAAGATCATAATGTCACGATACCCTCTGGTGTTCTCAGCAAGATCCAGGAAATGCCCTAAAATGAAAATCATCTATAAATGGTCGATTTTCCAGTGCCATGTTTGATTACCCTGGGGTAAAGATTGAGAAGTTGTTCAACTGATGTGTCTTTATCTCCAAGATGTGTAGGAATAGGAACCGGCCCATGCCATCCTTCAGTCTTGATCGAGGCCACATGCCATCCATCTGCGCTCCCTGAAGATTCAGTTCCAGAGAGTCGTCGAGAGGCCATTGGGATTGTGTGGGATGGCTTCCATGGGTTCTATACTGACCATACTTAACCCTTAACCAACCCTTCGGACGATCGTGGGAGTTGGGGTGCCCGTGTTTTTTTTTTCCGGTCGATCGTGGTAATTGAAAAAGAACGAGCTGCTATGTTTTGGGAGCCAAACAGGATTTTTTAAATGCCCGCTGGGCATATTCTGATTAAAAAAACTGATATCTAGCCGCAAGTCAGGGGATGATGGGGTAAACATGATCAGATATGATCAGCATCTGCAAGTGTGGAACCGAAGTTTCCTGCAGAAAAAAACCATCCGGATGCTGCATCTCAATCCATTGCAGGCAACTGGACCATCTGTCCCTGAGGCTCGCCCGGATGAGACCCGGATGTCCCCTGGAGACATCTGCAGCCATGATGCGTTTCCCCCACCATGGGGATCCTACCCAAAATGCATCGAAAAAACGACCAAAGGTTGAGGGATTCCGGGGACTTTTTGATGCCGATGCAAAAATCAGAAAAAAACCATGAGAAGTCCCCCCCCTCAATAATTGGAAACTAACAGCTACGATGGTGCTTGGTCCATGTTTCGTGAAGTGGATGCAGCTTCTCAGCCATAATCAGATTATGTGGTTTGGACATCCCTTCAGATCTGATGCAACCAATGGAGACCGTCACCAGGCTGATGCTGTCGATGGTCCCGAGGCGCAACGCGAGGCACCTTTGGGCGTCGCAAAAAACGTCCAAGTCGTCCCATTGAATGAATTCGTGAAAGCCGGAAAGCTGTATATAAAAATGTATATTTGATGGTAAAAACATGTAAAAACACAACTCTTTCCTGCAGATTTTCCCTGAAATCAATCCATATCAATCCAGTGACGAAGGCGTTTTCACGCTGCTTTCACCTTTGAACATATCTTTGAATATCTTTGAACTCATTCAACTGGTTGTTTCATGATGTTCAATCTTGCGACATCTCAACAGATGTCTAGGGAATTCGAGGGATGAAAATTAGAGGAAGGGGCCTTCGAACGATAAGTTGGGTTTCCCAGGAAGGCCAGCATTTGGAGTTCTGGAGGTGAATCTTTGAAGATAGGGTAACTAAGGAACCATACTAAAATAGCTGGAGATAGCTGGAGGCCGGATCGGGCCAGATCCCAAGTAACTCCAATCGAAGTCCCTCAGTGGTAAGGGATGGTGTGGGTATGTATATATATATATACATACTTATGTTGATATATACTTTATTTTTTGCCAGATTTCAGATAGTAAAATTCATTGCGATCTGTGATCCAGGCTTATCATTGTATATGGCGCTGCTGTACCTGCGCAGGATTCAGTGGACTCTCCTGTTGGTGTTCTTCCAGCAGACGTTCTATCTGGCTCCCCAGTTTCGGAAGTAGACCACCGTCCAGAAGAGGCTTGGCATGGCAAACCCTGATGCCATCCGAAATTCAAGCAGCGTTTCTTTGTGTGTGTGCGTGCGCAAATACCTATGATATCCTATGATATCCGGTGATATCCCGTGATATCCTATGATATCCCATGATATATACATGAATAATCAGGAATATATATATAGAGAGAGAGAGAGGCACACACAGATATTGTACACATTATATATATATGATATATTATATATGTATATTCGTATTTCTATATTAACGTAAGCAGATTGGCATTGCCATTTCTCGTCTTAGCAGGTCGGTGATGCACCTGCAGAAGTCATAGATGGTGCTCCCCAGAAGTTCGACCATAACCACCATTGACGATATATATATATATATAGATATAGATATAGATATGGAACGATTTAAGTGCCACAGCCAACGGTTAGCCCAGTTATTTTTCTCAACTTCGCTATAAGCATAAACCCTAGTTAGCCCAGTTATAGAACAACTAAACTGGAGCACCGCATTGTAAGTCCAAAATCCCCCTAAGTCCTGACACGTTCCCCAGCCGCAGAGGTTGATGGCCCTAGCAACATTGAAACTGGTGAAAAATATAGCTTCTTTTGTATAACTTCATACATAGATCATCTATGCACTTGTGGCAGTAGTTATATATATATACATTTATATATATATATATCATACGCATGTTTTTCAAATAAATAAAAACACACACACACACACGCAAACATATATATATATAGATATGCATTTTTATATTATATATGCATGTCTCTGCGTAATGATATTTTAAATGTTAACTAGCTGAAACGTCTTTTCTTTTGCAGGGTACTGCCCCACGCTGCAGAATGCCTTTGATGGCTCGGGCCCTGATGTTCCTGGAGTTCAGTCTGCCTCCGTCATGTCTGAAGTGCAGGCCAGGCATGAAGTGCGATAAGGTGACGAAAATGGTGATTTTTAGTCATTTAAAATTTTGATTTTAACCATCAAAAATGGTGGTTTACGCAACAAAATTTGTGATTTATCTATAGCCAATAGGGTTAGAACACCAACTGACCCGAATTTGCTATAGATAAATCACCATGGTAGTTACTTAAACCACCATTTTTGATGGTTAAAATCATAACCACCCGAGAGATTTGTTTTATGTTCCCATTTGTTCATCTGCTGGGAAGGCTGGGTGTTTTTTTCCATGGGTTCCTCAGATCGATCCAGATCGCAAAACGCCATCCTGCGTCCTGTTGGAAGCGTCAAGGGGCGTGAGTCCTGAAGTAAGGGACGGTTTAACAGCCATCCAGCACTATAACCCATAGGATCCATAGGATCCATGGTGCTGGTATATGCACACCAACATTTACCCCATAAATGACCCAGTCATGTAGGTAAATATACCAGCACCATGGAGCATATGGGTATAATAGTCCATCTAATTAACTAAGATTAACTATATTAAGTCCATGAAAAAACTCTAGTGTTACTAACAACCTTGGCTTAACTCTATAGCAGTAGAGTTTGTAATATCTACAAACCAACAAACCACAGTTCATCTAGTCATTATCAAATATTATAAACCAACCTTCGCTATACGTTCACTGGCACTGGATCCAGATCTGCAGGCGCAGGTGGGTGATGCCGCAGATGCTCCTGCTGAATCAGACGTGGGTCATCTAGAGGCGGAATACCACATCATATTGGGTTTATAAATGGTCAATCATCAAACGCATCAAATGGAGTCACAATGTAGGTTTATAATGGTTTATATTTTGAGGAAAAACAACATAAAATTGCATTTTGCAATGATTCGAAGGTCTAGCAATTCCACATGTGTCATACGTTTTTTTTAGGACAGTCAGCATCTACCAAGACCAGGCGGCTGCGCCGGCTGCGGAGCCGCTGGGGCCGGCAGAGCTTGACCCATCAGAGGCCTGGTGAAGGGGATGTTCATCCTACAATGGTTGATAATGGTCAATAACGGATAATAATGGATGGTTAATTGATAATAATGATGGTTAATAATGGATGATAATGGTTACCCTCTGGTCAATTAACAGCTGGACCCTGAAAATGAATGAACACCGATTTTTAGAGTGGAAACGAATCTTCCAACCCCGGTGAATGGCGGAGTCTATGTTACTGGAGGGTACCATATTTGGGGAAATAAACATCTATAAACCAGCTATTAAGGGTACTGTTTGGGTACCTGGGTTTTGACTCTTGGCCATATGTGTCTCAGAATGGGGGATACCTCAATTTTTGCTGATTTTTACAGATGTTCATGAAATGATGATCAACCATCAAATTCATGCGTTTGGATGGGTTGTAGCCGTACTACACGCAAGTGGATGATGTTTGTTTTTTTGGTGAAATGATGATATTTACCACATCAATAATCCCAGGTGGTATCCCCAACGGCAGCGTTGGTTGGAACATGTGGATACCATTGCAACACTGCCGAGGGGATCGACCAACCCACCAAGATCGATCCACTTTGGTTAACTTCCCGGCATGTCAGAAGGATCTTGGCCCAATTCAACCATTCCCACTTGCTTACCCAACCATTTGGATATATGATTTGGATATATGATTTGGATATAGAATATATATAAAACTATTATAACACAATATAATCTAATATAATATAATATAATATAACATAATATAATATATTATATTATAGTATTTTTTATTATATTATTATAAATATATATATATATATATCTACTATAGTCTATAGTAGTTTTTCCAGACTAAATCTGCAAGAACAGTCGGGTAAACTGCTCTTGGTAAACGGCGACCTTGCATCCTGGCAGTGACCAGCTTTAACTTTCTCATCTTTCATGGGAAAAAAACCCATAGTAAGACCATGGTTTCCGGTGATGTGTCCAAATACACCGGTTTTTTCGCTCCAGAAATCACCCAGGCTGGCTCGAACTCTGCCTGGGTCTCCACTGCTGCACCCAATCCGTTGGCATCCTCTGAGGGAGATCCGGAGGAGGATGGGGACCCAGGGCCCGGTGGGGTTTCGCTGGACCTGGTTGGGGATCACCCACCCTAAAGGAGCCTGAAGGATGGTGAATCTGCGATGTGTTGGGTAGAAAATGTCCTGATCCACTTTGCGTTCTACCTTGAAACTGTACGTATAAGTATATACATGAATATATGTCTGTATATAAGTATATATATAATTATACACGTTTACATGCACAACGTGCCACATGGTTTTGATGTTTCTAAAATTTAATGGGCAAATTATGGGCACCGTAAACTCAAAACATGAACTCAGGACGCAGCTGCTGCAGCGACCTCTGGAGATGAAGATCCAGAGGTGAGAAGTCATCAGTAGCGCCTGGCAAACTAAGCAGTTTGCGAAGTGGAAAATCACCGTTTTTAATGGGTAAATCAACTTTGAATGGCCATGAAATCAATAGCAAACTGTTTGTTTACCAGAGGGTAAAGGATTTGCTGTTCTTGGTTTGTTTTTTCCCTTCTGCTAGGGTTTTACATGATGTGTTGATACTTTTTGGTTGTTAAAATGCTAAAGATGACAACTTTTTGAAAGGAGATGGTTGTGGAGGAGCTATAGGGATGTCCTTTGTTTATTTATGTTCAGTTCACGTTTTTCAATCGCGGTATAGTATCATTTTTCCTGAATAATGATAGTGTGAGTTTGACCTGTCTAATGTATATTTTGTATAGCCAAGTGATCACATGCCCCGTTGACATTTGGCTTTAGGGCCCTTGAGTCATACCGCGCTGCCGTGGTAAAAGTTGGGCATTTGACGATCCCGTTTCCAATTCATATTGGTAGCGGAGCGGGTGACGACCCGCATCCGGTGGTACGTCAGTGACCCAGGGAACCCTTTGTGAATTTGAGTCTGGTAACTTTGGGAATCAACTGAACTTCGAGTGTGTCGTGGTTCGGGAATCTGTCTGACCCTGACCAGGGCAGACACTTGTTAACGTTTTTTTCCTTGTTCGACTCCGAACGGAGCGAGCATCATGTCGATCAATGGCCTTCGTTTCAATCAGGAACGCCATTCGTCGGCACCACTTGAGACGAAGAGTGGATCATACATCTATGCAGGTGATGCGGCGAACTTTCATGATTGGCAGTTCAGGACTCTCCTTCGGATTCGTCTTTATGAGCAGCAATTGGAGGAGGAGACAAGTAAGCCTGCGGATCCCGTTGGGACCACAGCAACAGAGCCTGCCGCAGAAGACGCAGATGAGTATGTTACTTTTCCAGATTTGTCGGGTGCTACTCAAGCAGCCCAGCCTACATCAGCAGTCTCGACTCCGAAGTCTGGAGCGAGCCGAAAATCCTCGAAGTCCGGCAAGCAGAAGACAGACATTGACCGTGGACCATTGGTCAACAAGGTGATTGAAGGACTGAGAGGAGATGCTTTCTCAATAGCTAGGGATCTTGGACTTGAAGTGTTGTCCAAACCTGGTGGCCTTGTGAAACTTGTGGGTGAGATCAAATCCCATGTGTTTCCAAGAGCCCGTGAGGAAGCCAAGGAATTATTTCGAGCAGGACAGAAGCAAGGTGGTCCTTTTCTCGCCAACCAGGCGAACCCATGCTTTCCTATGTTCAGAGGAGACGACGTTGGTGGCACATGCTATGCGAGTTGGATGACACAATGGTGTTTTCGGACAGCTTGAGGACAGAGTTGATGTTGGAGTTGAGTGGGCTCATGTTTTCGGACAGCTCAATCGACAGGAGATCCTCGTTGTGAAGGCTTGTGCAGACACTAAGGATTTTGAAGGTGTTGGCAAGGTGCTGATCGAGAACTACAGTGGCACTCACTTGCGAGAAGGGTCACGATCCTGGACAGGACGTGGTAATCCTCAACAGCATGGCAAGTTGTCAGGCAAGGGTTATGGCAAAGGCAAACCTTCTTCGAAGGGATCGTATTCCCAAGCAGCCTATGCAGCCTACCCCGATGATGGGGAGGAACATGCAGAATCTTGGGATGAAGCTGTGGATCAATCCTGGGAGGATGATTCATATGTTGGCATGCTTGGTGACATTGCAGAAGAGGAGCCAGGAAACCTAGAAGGTGACAACGAATTTGATTACTTTGACGACGTCGATGAGTACGAAGCAGTTGCATTGAACAGTTTGCTTGAAGTTGAAGGTGCAGAAGATGATCGACAGGCAGGAGACGCTATCCAGCTACAACTTGCTGCTTTCACCGCAATGGGGAAAGCAGGTGGCAAGGGGAAATCCTTCGGGAAGCCCAAAGGAAAAGGCAAAAGAAAGATCGTGAAGTCCAACCTCACTATCGATCAGAGGAGACGTAAGCTCACAGAGCTGAAGTCGAAGAGCAAATGTTTGAGATGCGGAGTCATAGGGCACTGGGCCGGTGACCCGGAATGTAAATTCCCGGGGTCGAAAGCCGGAGCCCCTGGAAAGTCAGCCCCAAAGCCCGCAGCTCACTTTGCCGACATGAGCGATTCTTCAGATGACGATGGTGTGACTCTGACAGCTTCACCTGATCGTGACAGAGATGGAGTTGCTATGATGGCAGTTCGACAAGCGAAGCCTAGCAGTCGACCTTCACGTGCAGCAGCATCCAGCAGCAACGTTGGCTTGATTTCCCGGGATCTCGATGTTGCAATGAGACCCGAGGACCATGGGTGCATCTTTCCTGTTGGACAGTTCAAGGGTTTGTCTTTTTGGAATGTGCTGTTTGAACAGACAGGGTACTATCATCATGCCAAGAAACATACCCCCAAGAGTCCATACTATGTCACATGGTTGAATTGGGTTGACAAGTACTTTGTGGTTGGTGCTGATGGGATTTACCCGCGCGAAGTCCCTGTTGAGCATGTCGAGCACCGAGATTTGTTGGTGGCTCGGGGAACTGGCAGAAAGAAACCCCCAAATCCTCCTTTGCCGAACAAGTGTCAGGAATGTCGTGAGTTTACAAAACAAGGTTCTACGGGGTACACCATCAGGAAGACCTGCCTTGTGTGCGGTCATTCCGAAACAACAAGGCGTGACATGGTACCGTTGATGTCCCCTGAGAATTGCCCTCATGATGACACCGATTTTAGGGGATCCAGCAAATCAACACACCGTACTTTCTGCAAGAAGTGTTGCACTTTCATTGATGAAGCTCCTATGCAGATTCGTAAGGAGCGTGTTGCAATTGCCAAGAAGGTTGAAACAGCATCAGTTCGAACAGTCCCCATTGTTGAATCATTGGTTGAAGAATCGGATGGATTGAATCCAGTCCAGTTGGAAGAGTTGTTACCCCTGTTTGCCACTCTTGTTACCGAAACCTGCCAATCTGAGGTGATGACCCGTGCCCGACTTCATGAACTACTGCATCAAGCCATCAATGACGTGACAGAGGAAGAGGACAGTTTTTCACTTGTCAATGAAGATGGGCACGGCGACCCCTCGGGCAGGGAGTTAGCTGGGTACGTTGGCATTTGTTTGCATGGAAGTGACAGTCAATACCCTCAAGACTTGGTTTACATGAACTATGAAACTGTTGACATTGCCAAGTCACCCCATGTTTTTGCAGTGTTGGATGAAGGTTGCAACAGCACTTGTCATAGCAAAGCCTGGGCAGTCGATGCAGAAGCACGACTGGCCCGATTGGGTTACAGCATGCCATTGAAGGATGACGGTTGTAAGAGTTTCGCTGGTCTGGGAAGTGGTAGTACCAAGACCGAAGGTGTGAGATCTATTCCTTTTTCGCTGCTGCTTCCAGACGGGAACATGCATGGGGAGTTGGATTCATATCAATTGTCAACAGGCAACAGCCCATTGCTTCTTTCATTGCATGCGCAAACCAAGTTAGGCCTAGTGAAGGACCTAGCAAAAGGGGTGATTTCCATCAAAGATCAACCAGTGAATATCAAGAGATGTTCCAAATCAGGTTTACTTGTGATGAACTTGACTGAAGGATTGACCAACATCAACAACACACCGTCGGATGAACTTCCCCACATCCCGAAGTGTCACAGAAAGTACAACATCGCATACACAGCATCCACATCGGAAGTTGCCATGGCTGACCATGACATGTGTGGTTTTCATTCGAGGGACTACGACATCTTGCAGACGAAGTTGAATGAAGAACTGCGCAGTGACAGGAAGGTGGTCATCATGACTCGCGGACGTAGATTTCAACAACATGCGTGCAGAACCAGCAGGAGCACTTTGAGCATCAACTGTGAGGACATTAACGATCCTGATCAGGACGTTAACCTCAGGTCGCATGTGGGTTGGCATCATGGGATCCTTGAGACTATGAGCAAAGTAGACAGGTTCATCCAACATCTCAACAACATCCTCCAGTTCGTCACACAGCAGGAAGCCGACAGTAAGGTGCTGGTGGACTTGGAGTGCAAGTCAGGTCGCCACAGGTCAGTGGGACAAGGATTTGCTGCCTACAGGTGTCTCAAAGTCCTTGGTTATGACGTTGTTCTCATTCATGCATCATCTTGGATGTGGGGCGAGATGCGTTGTGGTGGAGTTTGTCATGGATGTCAGGACATGGCTGCGAGCTTGGGACAAATCAGACATTTGATCCCGAACATGTCTAGGTTGGCACGATCACGAGGCAGTGTGGCTTCAAGCCGTGACGTGCGCGATGCTCCAGCCGATGATGTTTCAGGTGGACATTCATCTCATCCTACATCAGATCACCCCACTGCAGGACATCCTACATCAGATCAGCTTGATGAGATTCGACGTTTGGTACAAGGGCTTGCAACAGATGTTGGACATCTTAGGACAGAACAGGTTGAGATCAAAAGGATGGCCGAGACCGGAAGGAGATCAAGGAGTCCATTGCGTCGACGGAGATTGCCGACGCCACCGTCGCCACCAGCAAGGCGCAGAAGATCACCAAGTTTTCGTCGCAAGTTACCTCCTTGGAGACATGCACAAGCATCCAGGGGAAGACGTCCATCGCCGAGGCCACTATCTGCGAGGCCAGCTCCCAGGAGCCCAGATCATCCTCCACCGCACATTTCGGACGTGCCAGGGACCGATGACGGATCCCGATCTTCAGGGGCCATGGATGGACCTCGAAC